TACGTGAACGGATAGACTGATGAATCGGGAGACAAATAGATGATAGATAATCTATACATACATGCAGCCAGACAGACAGCCAGACAGACAGAATATAAAGACACGCAGACACAGACAGACAGACAGAATATAAAGACATGCAGAGACAGACAGACAGACAGACAGATAGATAGATAGACAGATAGATAGAATATAAAGACACGCAGACACAGACAGACAGACAGATAGAATATAAAGACACGCAGACACAGACAGACAGACAGACAGACAGATAGACAGATAGACAGATAGATAGATAGATAGATAGATAGATAGATAGATAGATAGATAGACAGACAGACAGACAGACAGACAGACAGACAGATAGAATATAAAGGCACGCAGACATAGACAGATAGATAGGCAGATACACACAGACAGACAGATAGGGCTGAATATACAGTTATACAGGCAGACAGATTGATAGATAGACATAATTTGTCTGAATGAAGAGGAAGACAGACATAAATATAGACATACAGACAGATACCGTGTTTATCTACTGGACTGGATTAATCTATAGCCAATTATGTGTGTAGAATTGGTTAGATATATTCCATCTATGGCACTAGTTCCAGACATTAAGGCCGTAGGGAAAATAGGAGCTGATGGAGGCAGAAAACAAAATAAGAGTTTAATTTCCAAACACTGATTTCATTACGGCTCCTGTGTTTCAAGGAAAACAATGTTAAAGCAGAACACAGTCACTGCGCTTTATTTACTTGGAAGCAAAGCGGCAGCCGCAGCCAAAACCCAATATAAAGCAGAGTGAGATGTCATGAGAGAATGCAAAGAAGTAACAGTGGTTTCTGTTGCCAAGATGAATGAACAAAGAAAAGCACACTCCTTCCTGATAATCTGAATCAAAACATCCTTTTTATAGAGGCAGAACCTCGCCATCTTAAATAAACGAATCCTTTTTAATCATAATTTCACTGTATGTTCTCTAGCAGAGCTGAACGTTCTCAGGAGTGCTGCTTTTATTGGCAGTCGCACAACTGGTGGCTTTCTTGACGCTCTGTTGTCTGTTCCAGCTACATGGAGTCTTCTCTTTAATTTCAATGATTTGGTCTTGGAAACTATTGTTTTAAATGAGCTGTAATTTCAAACACATGCTGAGATGTAAAGATCCAAACTGTACGGAGCGGTGTCCGTTCTCAAGCTCTGTTTGCAGACAGTCGTGGTGTTGTGTAACCTCCTGCCTTTGGCTGATCTTTATCCAATCAAATGCAGGCTTAAGACTCAGGCCGATTAGCCGGCGAGTCTGCTGGGATAGAGCTCTTCACCCTAATCCACCTCCTGCTGAGGCTACACTCTTAAAAATAAAGGTGCTTCACGATGCCATAGAAGAACCTTTTTGTCTAAATGGTTCCATAAAGAACCTTTAACATCTGAAGAACCTTTCTGTTTCACAAAAGGTTCTTTGTGGCGAAATAAGCTTCTTCAGATTACAAAAAGGTAAGAAAGAGATGGTTCTTTAAAGAACCTTTGACTGAATGGTTCTTTGTGGAACCAACAATGGTTCTTCTATGGCATCGCTTGAAGAACCTTTTGAAGCACCTTTATTTTTAAGAGTGTAAATGGTAACGGAAATGTTTCTTTTGTATGCAAATGCAATGACCTAAGACGCAAAGCATTTCTAAAGTTTATTACCGTGTTTTCACATAGTGACGAGGGTTATGTGAGAGGTTAAAAGAAGCTATTTCTACTAAGACTTTGAGCCATTTGGCAGTAAAACATGGATGTGTTTAATATAGTTTCATAATTTAATGCTAAAATTATTTTAGTATAAAACGAAATTTTATACTAAATAAAATGCTATACTACACAACTTAATGCAACGGCCATACAGAGTAATAAAACGAACAAAATGCAAAATAATGAAAGAAAACAAAGAGAATGACCCTAACTGACCACTTTTCGTAAAGAAACAAAAAGCAACAATACTGTAATGAAATTTAACAAAACATGTACTGTTATGTTGAATTGTGTTTTAACGAAAAAGAAATGCAGAGAATGAAAGCTTTTGAAAAGAAAAGAAACTAAATATTGTGCAAACACAAAATCAGTGTTAATAAAAGAACAAACTATTAAAATGTGTTTTTAAATAAAATAAAGCCGAAATAAAAAATATTAGATAAAAACTTTAAAAATAAATAATAAACAATCAATAATTTGTATTGCTAGAATTACTAAAAGTGATAGAATTACTAAAACTTAAAAGCTGAATAGAATTTTTTTAAGAAACATAAAACTAAAATTTAATTACAATAGAACATAAAAATTCCTAAAAATTAAAATATAAGATTTAAAGCTAATTAAAAACATTAATAAATACTATAGAAGTATAACTATACTAGTATACTATAATAGTATAACACTAAACAAAACAAAGAGAACGATCCTAACAGAGAACAAAACTTTTCGTAAAGATACAAAACACAAAAAATACTGTAATGAAATCTAATGAAACATAATTGAATTCAGTGTAACGTTACATAATGAAAGAAATAGAATGCAAATAGAATGAAACATTTTGAAAAACTAAACACTGTGAAAACAAAACAAAGAGAATGATAATTTTCAAACAGAAATCAAACACGACGAAACCAAACAGGGAACACATTTTTCAACAACAGCCCGATAAGCAATAGTTGTGTATAGTCGATGCAACAAAAGAAACTTTTTAAAAATAAAATGATTTATTATTAATTAATTTATTAAATTATTTTCAGGCGCTGCGTAATATCATTGCGCCTGCTGCACCCATGGTACGGCAGCAAAGTTCCTTGATTATTACGCCGGAATGAGAGTATAGTTCCTAGCCATATCGGCCTAAAAAATCGCAACTTTTCATTTTCTGTCGGTCTTAGTACACGACGTAACTACAGAAGAGTCAAGTTTTAAATAGGAAAAATATCGAAACTCTTTGGTCATTTTTGAGCGAGATGCTAACGGTCTAATCAGATTCAATGATCTATGCTAAGCTACAGCTAAAAGTGCTAACGCCAGACCCGGAGATTGGCTGAATGGATTCGAAAACGGTAAAACTCAACTGTTTAACTCTAGGGGTGATGGAAAAGAAAGCATTTTTAAAGGAACCATAAAGTAATAAAACAAAACAAAATGTAACTTTCATTCAAACCAGCAACCTTCTGCTCACCAGCTCTGAGCTTTAACCACTACACCACATCACCATCCTCAGGTCTCGCTGAGGCTGCCGCAGACTGACTGATTGTGTGTGACTGCTGCATTATGGCTCCTACAGAGGAACACAGTATAAAATTGCTCTCTGTGACAAGAATGATGTGACAAACTGTTTGAAGTGATCGGTTTCAGCCTTGAGGAACTTTTCGAAAAGACCGAAACAAGCACTTTTGCTTCTACTGAGTCATACATACATACGCAGGGAGAGCGAGAGAGAGAGAGATGGCGCACAGGGAAATATATGCTAATGTAACGGAGCGCAGTCATTTGAAAGGAAATGGGCCTGAATGAGCACCCCGAGGGAACCACAGCACAAAGTTCAACCCTGAAAAATGTATTTCATTTCATTTAAATAGTCCGCTCTTATGAATACATCGGGGCTTCGGGGCGGCACCGCTGCTTCGGGGAGAGCTGGGAGCCACAGGAGGGCTGAGGTGGGAGTTTATTTTTGGCGAAAAATATCAAAACAAGATGTGGAGCCTGAGAAAAGTACAAATAAATTATTTTATATGCAAAGGAAAACTTTGTTCAACTCGCTCTGATGTCTCATTTGTAGGTGTTTTACAGGTCTAAGTTCTTGAAAATATGCTTTGATGTGGATTTGGGTGGATTTCGAAAGGACTGAAAGCTCCAGATCTAGATAAATGATATGATACAGTTTAAGTAGATTATTACCATATATGCCATATCTACTCTACTAAGATACTTCAAAGAATACCATGATTTAACTATGGTCCATGTAAAACAAAACAAAAACAAAACAAAACAAAAACAAAGCAAAGCAAAACAAAAAACAAAACAAAACAAAACAAAACAAAACACAAGATCACAAGATCTCAAAATGCAGTTTTAACTCACTTTAAGTATCTTTCTTAACAAAATTCTCCTCAAAGTCCACCAAGAAAAAGAAACCTAAACTAAGAAAACAGTTTATGCTAATGCCTCGTTCTTGTGATTAGCAACATCATTAGGAAATATTTATTTTTGCATTTGAAATTTATTTTGGACACATCTGGCACCAACAGAAGCCAAGAAGATATTTTGCAGAATATTGGTGTTCAAACAACATTAGATCCCACAGAATTTCTTATTGTATGAACAAAAAACCATTTTCAAAACATTTGATGATGACAGAATTTGTGTTCTTGTGTGAAAAACCTAATTTGAAAAAAACTAAACTAAACGCTGCTTTGTTGTTCGTAAACTACTGTTATGTTGTTCGTTTTAGTGGACATATCCATGAATTGCAAGACATCAATCATCACACTTTAAAATTATCTAAATAATAATCAGAGTACCGTTAGATACAGATTTGGCTTTAGCTGCCCTTTAATGTGACCCAAAATCATTTTACTTACACTGTGAGCTACCAATATTCAGACGGCTACAGTTGAGCCATGTCATATCTGTGTATGTTCCTGAAGGAGAATGATTGAAGCACTTAAGAACCCGGGATGTGAGCCAGGATAGCATTCCCAGCTCCCTGTCTAGATCCCGGTCCTCTGGGAGCAGATCAGGTGAATATTCCGGGATGAATATTAGCACTCGGAAGGCAAACACTCAAGATTTAATTAGGGGGCTGAAAGAGGATTAGACTGAGCGTGTGTGTGTGAAGGAAGGGAAGTCCCCTTCACCTTCCCCAGTCTTGCTTTGTTGACTCTCCGGATCCAACAGTGCCACATATGTCCAGCATATGGTACAAGAACACGCAAACCTAAGCACAAGTAAAAATACACACACAAAACCAGGTTTACCTGGGCACGGAGGCGTGCAGGCGATCGGAGTCATTGTATCTGGGAACTATTCGTGGATCAGGCCCTCTGATCTGTGGAACACAGAAAAATCGAATTAGATTGTCACAATCTTCTAATGTGACATTTAGATGTGGTTTTAAAGTTGAAGAGTATAATTTCTGTACACTACCAACACCAAATGGAAGAAAGCATTGGTGACTATGAAAAACAAGTGCATTATAAAAAGCAGACCACACATGAAAACCATGTTTATACATAATTTGTCTGTTTTTAATGTCAAAATGTGAACAGACACATGTATAGGATGTGCACATACATTTCCATTCAAAGGTTTGGGATCAGTTAGATTTATTTTTATTGATTTTGAAAGAATTCTCTTGATCTAAGAGGCAACAAAATCAGTAATACTATAAATATTATGACAATTTTTGTTTTCTATTTTAATGTATTTTAAAAGGTCATTTATTCCTGTGATGACAAAGCTGAATTGTCAGCATCATTACTCTACTACTTATTATCATTATCAATGTTGAAAGCAGTTGTGCTGCTTAATTTTATTTTATTTTATTTTTTCTGGACTCTTTGGCAAACAGAAAGTTCAAAAGAAAAGCATTTATTTAAAATAAAATCTTGTAACATTTTAAATGTTTTTACTGTCACTTTTGATCAATGGAATGTGTTATTGCTGAATAAAAGTATCACTTTCTTAAAAAAAATACAAAACTTACTGACCCCAAATTTCTGAGCAGCAGCATACATGAAGAAATCAGTTTACATGAAGAGTGAAACCAATAGGCTTTTGCTTAACATGTTTAAGACTTGAAAGAAAAAAGAAAAGTTCAAGATGTTTAATCCTAACCTAACTTGGCCAAATTTTAAACCAGTTTGAAATCTGGTTCGGTACTTTGACTAGTCGCGGTGTCTCATAAGAGCATACACTACAATCTTGGTCTTTTTGTTGCTTAAAACTCAAACTCAGACTTAAAACATCAAAAGGTGATAAGCTTGGGAGTTGTAGTGTGCACTGAAGCTAGAATATGTAATGAAGATAGATAAATTCACATCATATCTGTACGACGACTATAAATCAAGGAGAGCAAGAGAGGGAGAAAAGAGTAAACAAGAGAGACAAATGATGCAGCTCGACTGATTTAGTGGAGAAAAGAGGTCAGTGTCTTCAGAGAAAGTCTCCAGCAAGACCATTTTCCACACCCTCTGGATGTAATATGACACCCCCCCTCCAAAAACGTTATACTTAATATATGCAGGATTCATGAATTATATATCTACCCAGTTTAATACTATAATTATCATCAGTATGAGCTATTAACTTCAAGTAAGCATGACCCTCAAAGTGCAGAGCAGAACAAAACACGAACAGGCAATGACAAACATGATACTTGATTTTTAATGCATTTTTTGCCTCTGCAAACATGAAGGCAAATTGGATGCATTATTTTCCCATTACATCTCCTATGGTTTTGTTACGAGTACAATGAATAATTAAAGCTTATGCGACTATTCCAAGACTTTGCGAGCTTGTGTAAGAGAAATAACTTGCGTTAGACACACATGGCAGGGTTTAACAGTAAGTAGTCTCATATGACTGCAGTGGGATTGTGGGAGTGCTGCGTGTGGCAGCTCCTGACAGATGAAGGTTAGAGGCATTATGTAAAGAAGGGCAGCTCATTTCTGGAGACTATGTGAGGAAAATGGTGGCATTTGTCTCAATGAGGCGTTTATAAGTGCACGTCCTCCCGCGTGTCATGGCGGACCTGAGCACTACCCTGCATGCTAAGTGTGATCTTTAAACACAAAGGTGTCTCGCAGGGATCGAATGTCACAGAGAGTAAGAGAGAGAGATGACGAGGCGCACGCGGCGTAAAGGTCACATTTAGAGAAGCGAGAGATGATTGTGGGAATGATAGACCGCTGCGCACGCCAAATGATCAGAATGATATACAATTCCTCGCTTTCCTCTGGTCCTTTCATTCTTTATTCCGTCTATTCTGGACATACAGGCGATCAGTCATGCCTATTGTCACAGATGGAAATATTTATTCTATCGCTTCTCTCTCCAACTTTTCTTTCTCCACAGATCAGCTCTCACTATTGGGAGCAAAGACCCAAGTTTTCAATGTAGAGGTCAACCTATATTTAAAATATCTGATAATAACACATCTGATGTAAAACACATCTGAAACAAATGTACGTATTCTTTAAGCAATAAAATTGCTGGATGTTTAAACGCTACCTTGTTGCTTGCATATAGGGCCGGTTATTACAAAACACCAGAGACTCCAGCGCTTTTTGGATCCTCCACATTACCCACGTGTTTCTCTTCACTGCCCACAGATGTTATCTCGGGCACAGGCGATTGATCTTCAGCGGATAATTAGCATTTTAGGCAGAAAGGACAAGACGTGGGCCTGCTGCCAGATGCTTGACTCCAATTCAGAGAGAGAATTTGAAACTTTGCCACGGCAGGCTTGGTGGTCCGGGCGAGTTTTCCCCTGTGGGGTCAAAAAGGATCAACAAAACCTGCTCAACCCTGCTAAACCTCACCAAAGGGGGACACTGGGGCACCATGGCAACCAGGCTGCCAAAAACGGTGCTGTTATCAGATCAAAACGGCTGTGTGGACGGATGAAGGACTCGTGCTCTGCTGTGAATGCTGAGAAGCTGAGAAACGTGCATGTTACGCCGGCGAACTCGACTGAGACGGCAAACACTCGCCACAACAAACGTGCAAACGTTTACAAATAGGCATACGCCACTCATGCGTACAGATGCACCAAAAGGGTTTTACTTAATATGCTTATGAATTTTAACCAATACAAGAATCACACAGTTCAAGATGTTTCATCATCATGCACACCTGATGAACCTGGCAAGATATTAAACCAGTGTGACCAACTGTCACAGTACCTATTACTAGTCGCAGTGTTTCATATGAGCGCAAACTAGAGTCTGGGTCTTTTTGTTACTTAAAACATCAAAAGGCGATAAGCTTGAGAGTTGTAGTGTGCATGGAAACTGGAATACATAATGAAGATAGATAAATTCATATAATTTCTATATGATGACTATAAATCAGGGAGAGCAAGAGGAGAGGAAAAGAGTAAACAAGAGAGAGAAATGATGCAGCTCGACTGATTTAGTGGAGAAAAGAGGTCAGTGTCTTCAGAGAAAGTCTCCAGCAAGACCATTTTCCACACCCTCTGGATGTAATATGACACCCCCCCTCCAAAAACGTTATACTTAATATATGCAGGATTCATGAATTATATATCTACCCTGTTTAATTCTATAATTACCATCAGTATGAGCTGTTAACCTCAATTTAGCATGACCGTCAAAGTGCAGAGAAGAACAAAACATGAACAGGCAACGACAAACATGTTTCTTCATTTTTAATGCATTTTTTTTTGTCTCTGCAAACATGGAGGAAAATCGGATGCATTATTTTCCCATTACATCTCCTATGGTTTTGTTACGAGTACAATGAATAATTAAAGCTTATGCGACTATTCCAAGACTTTGCGAGCTTGTGTAAGAGAAATAACTTGCGTTAGACACACATGGCAGGGTTTAACAGTAAGTAGTCTCATATGACTGCAGTGGGATTGTGGGAGTGCTGCGTGTGGCAGCTCCTGACAGATGAAGGTTAGAGGCATTATGTAAAGAAGGGCAGCTCATTTCTGGAGACTATGTGAGGAAAATGGTGGCATTTGTCTCAATGAGGCGTTTATAAGTGCACGTCCTCCCGCGTGTCATGGCGGACCTGAGCACTACCCTGCATGCTAAGTGTGATCTTTAAACACAAAGGTGTCTCGCAGGGATCGAATGTCACAGAGAGTAAGAGAGAGAGATGACGAGGCGCACGCGGCGTAAAGGTCACATTTAGAGAAGCGAGAGATGATTGTGGGAATGATAGACCGCTGCGCACGCCAAATGATCAGAATGATATACAATTCCTCGCTTTCCTCTGGTCCTTTCATTCTTTATTCCGTCTATTCTGGACATACAGGCGATCAGTCATGCCTATTGTCACAGATGGAAATATTTATTCTATCGCTTCTCTCTCCAACTTTTCTTTCTCCACAGATCAGCTCTCACTATTGGGAGCAAAGACCCAAGTTTTCAATGTAGAGGTCAACCTATATTTAAAATATCTGATAATAACACATCTGATGTAAAACACATCTGAAACAAATGTACGTATTCTTTAAGCAATAAAATTGCTGGATGTTTAAACGCTACCTTGTTGCTTGCATATAGGGCCGGTTATTACAAAACACCAGAGACTCCAGCGCTTTTTGGATCCTCCACATTACCCACGTGTTTCTCTTCACTGCCCACAGATGTTATCTCGGGCACAGGCGATTGATCTTCAGCGGATAATTAGCATTTTAGGCAGAAAGGACAAGACGTGGGCCTGCTGCCAGATGCTTGACTCCAATTCAGAGAGAGAATTTGAAACTTTGCCACGGCAGGCTTGGTGGTCCGGGCGAGTTTTCCCCTGTGGGGTCAAAAAGGATCAACAAAACCTGCTCAACCCTGCTAAACCTCACCAAAGGGGGACACTGGGGCACCATGGCAACCAGGCTGCCAAAAACGGTGCTGTTATCAGATCAAAACGGCTGTGTGGACGGATGAAGGACTCGTGCTCTGCTGTGAATGCTGAGAAGCTGAGAAACGTGCATGTTACGCCGGCGAACTCGACTGAGACGGCAAACACTCGCCACAACAAACGTGCAAACGTTTACAAATAGGCATACGCCACTCATGCGTACAGATGCAAGGAGATTAGACATGTGTTTGAGGAGTTTGATTAAACACAGAGAAGCACATGTACAGTATGAAGGACAAGGTCACCTGGTGCTCACTGGGACTTTTTATACTTAAAAAACACAAAAAATATAAGCAAAGATACTTGGCAATAAACATCTAAGTTACACATAGTACTTAAATAATATACCATTTATAAAACGCCAAAAAACATTTTGTATCCATACATTTAAATATTTCGATATAGTATATACTGTATACACACACACACACACACACA